AGGCCACTTGTTGAAACTGGCCCTGTAATCACTTGGCCTCTTTTGGTAAGCCCGAAAAAGCAAAAAAAACAGCTTGGCCACTAAAATACTTGGGCTCAAAAACATACTTATGGCCAAAGTGTGTTCGGAGTTGGCTTGGGAACAATGCCAAAGTTCGCTCGGAGCTTGTTCGCTTGTTCGGAGTTTGTTCCGAGTTCGCCCGGAGTTCGTTCGGAGTTTGTTCGGAGTTTGTCCGGAGTTCGTTCGGAGTTCGTTCGGAGTTCGTTCGGAGTTCGTTCGGAGTTCGTTCGGAGTTCGTGCGGAGTTTGTTCGGAGTTCGTTCGGAGTTTGTTCGTTCGGAGCTTGTTCGGAGTTGGTTCACGGGGAACCTGGGGCCTCTGAGAAACGCCTACTAAGACAAACACGTTCTGCTCCGCATTGTGTAGTGTGTGGCCAAAATCCTAAAAAATGTGCCCATGCAGGATTTGTTGCAGATCACTGCTTTCTTTGTGAAAACTTGCAATTGCCGCAAACGCAAGCCCAATCTGCCAAAATACGAGCAGAATTTGGGCTCCAACACAACGCATTTTGCTCGTACAGAAGAGGCGGTTTCATAGTGAAGTTTTTCCCGGAAAGCAGTTCAAGCCCTTTCCTCTTGTCGGCCAAGACTCATTTCTGCTTAGATGACCCCAAACCCCTTTCAGCATGCGCATCAAGCTGCCTTACCCTTAAGTTTTTTTTGGTGTTGAACCGAATTCCCCACGCAAATTGGCATCTAGGTATCTCACAGAATCAGTACGGCGCTTTCAAGTATGGCTACGGCACGTAAGGCCAAGAAGCCAATCATACACTTCGGTGTGAAAGGTCAAAAGAAATTTGTGTCTGTTTTGTGTTGCTTTTTGTTGCACATTGGCCCTTCAAGTCATTTGTACAGTCACTCGACTCATGGTACATTGATAAAAAGGCTTGCAGACCGCTTTACAGGTATCACAGTCAACGCAAGCCACCAGGGACAATCCATCCTCCAATCCTCCATATTGGCATATTGGACTCTCTCCGGAATGGATCAGGGACCAAATCAACGACCTCTACTACAACAGGGTACCAGTTCCCTTCTAGGATAGGCACCCCGGCAGTGGGCCTCACCCCCCCACCCCCCCAATATCAGACGTTGGGCGGGGGGGGTTAGGGCGACACGCCGAGCAATGTCGGCGGACATATTTTGAAAATTTGGTCTGCGAGTCAAAGTTTGAATGTCTATTGACACCGACCGAGCCAATGGAACTAGAACATTCAACTGCCCCCAGCGGTGGTGCAGGAGCCCGCCTGAAAAATCAGCCCTTTTGAGGGGGTGGTCCAAGCTCAAGGTAGGCTGATACATCCATGGGGGGGGAACCAGTGAGAAATCCGGAAATGCCTAACTCAAGATTTTCGACGGCCCCTTCTGAATTACGAAAACTTCAGCCAAGTAGCTTTCGTGAAAGTCTTTGTGTCCTTGCCAGGCGAGAGGAGAAGGTGCTTGACCCGCTGGCAGCGTGGGGGCCAGAGGGCGCAGTCGAGTTGCTTCAAGCTGCACCAGCTTCTGCACGGGCGCGTTCTCCAGTTGAGACCGCCTTGCCTGGCAAGCAAGCTCTTTGAAATGTGTGCAACTAAAGGTTGGTGTACTTGTTCAGAGCGCAAGGCCGGCAGTGAAGCGTGCTGTAAAATCGTCTTGGGAACCAGAGCAGGCAGTTTACTCGCCTGCCAGTGTGAAGCAGAACCTTGAAGCCAAGTTCAACGCCGCAGCGCAGCCTGACCAGATGGAAGGCAACGAGGAGGGTGTTCGAGCTGCGTTTGGAAGAGGTGGGCTCACAGCAGGACAAACACGAAGAGGGCAGAGGAACTTAAGGCTCTCTTCTACCAAGTTGTTTTTTTCGGCTTCGCTGTCACCGCTTGCAGCGGCTTGGGTGTTGCTTGGATCCACCCCAGCTGCTCAGCTTCTGCAAGGACTCCTGCGCCAAGGTGACGCTCCCGCGTGGCTGCAAAGCTTTCTGCCAGTCTTGCTCACGAAGCAACACTTCGTCCAAGGCTTGCAAGGAAACAGGGTGGCGAGGCTACTCCATGCGCTCCGCATAGACATAGGCATCCTCTTCTGCCTCGGCTTCTTCCCCCTCAATGTCAACTGGCCCTTCCGCGCAGGAGCCCTCTCCCTCGTCACTTTCTTGTGGCACATCAAAAAGCTCTTCAGCCGAGAGTTCAAGGATGCCTCCAAGGTCACCATAGAACGGCACGAGAAGTCATTATTCATGCAGGAGCAGGTTGCCATTGATCAGGAGTTTGGTCATTCTTAATCCCAGGGCCATCTTTGGTTCCTGTTCAATCACTGAAGATTTTACCCACTACGAGCTTCCCAAAAGATTAAAGATGCACAATGCGCTTTGTTCATTCTTAATCCCGGGGCCGTCTTTGATTCAGCAGACCCCACACACCTGTTTAAACACTGAGGCTGTTACCCACTACCTTACCCACTACGCACTTCCCAAAAGATTAAAGATGAACACTGCGCTGGGGCCATTTTTACACACACCTGTTCAAGCACTGAAGCTTCAACCCACTAAAACGCTTTGTTCATTCTTAATCCCAGGCCATCTTTTGACCCAAGAGACCCCACACACCTGTTCAAACACTGAAGCTGGTACCTGCTACGCGCTTCCCAAAAGATTGGACATGAACAATGCGCTTTGTTCATTCTAATCCCAGGACATCTTTGATTGGAAGCAGCATTGGTTAGCGGGTGGCGGACTGTCCGCAGAGCGGCAGATGATGTGCCAGTTTGACTTGCAGACGCAGAAGCTGGCCAAGCTGCAGAAGATGCTGCTTTGCAGTTTCAGCAGCCATACTTGGGCACGCTAGCGCTTCTGTCATGAGCACCAGCTTCCGGGGAGCCAGCCCCGTCGCCTTGCCCGTTTTGTGGACAGCGGCGGGTTCTGCGGTTTGAAAGTCGTGCTGGGCTCAAAGCCCCTGAGCGTGATAGCCAACTTGTGCTTTTGCACAACGCTGCCAATGCGCCTTTCAAAAAAAGGGCACCGCTTCGCATGTGCCGCAACCTGACGCAGACCCAACCGCCACACTGGAGCCATGGCCAGCTTGGTCAGACATAGCACGCACGCCGACGGCGCACAAGGCGCCAGCTTCTAGGAGGGAACTGCGTTGAGTGGCCAGAGTGTTTTTGTCCCTGCGCGCAGTCCAGCACATTTGGCGCACGCAGTTTATCGCGCTACTCTTAAGCAGGCAGCCGCCTCATCGAGGATGTATGCTGGGCAGCAAACTTGCTTTGGATGTCATCCAGGCTCCTCGTGAAGAACTTGACGCCTGGCTTGTTTCTGCTGGGGCAGCTCTAGGTCGGCGGTTGCCAAGGCAAAAACTTTTTGTGATAATTGCTGCGCCGCAAGATGTTCTTGCTTAATGTTAATTGTGAGTTTGCAGCCCATGGTTGGCCTGAAAGCTGCAAACTAGCTTGAGGAGGAATATAAGGGCGACGTGGGCGTGACGCTCGCTGGCCGGCAGCGACTGACTTTTCACCCATCGGTCCTGCGCGCCGCAGCGCTGCCCAACAGCGCTCTCGATGCTTTTGGCCTCGTGCCAGCTGGTTGCGCTCGTTGTAACAGTTTTCTGCGCACAGCAGACCCAGTCATGTAGGGGAGGTGGCGCCCATGTCTTTGCCGACAGCAGCGGGTGTCGCAGCTTGTGCGCGTGCTAAGTTACTGCCTGATTGTAGTGTCACCGCTTCCTGCAATAAGAAAAATCCCCGACACAGCCCTTGGTCCCCCTGCCGGTCACCCAAAGCAGAACAGATAATAGAAAAGTGTAGGAAACGAGCATGGCAGTCCAAAGCTCGGGCGCGCGTGGCGCGAACCTGGGTTCTCGGCCCAGAATGCGGTGTCGGGGGGGATGTGGCGTCAGAACGCGTCGTCAGCCGGGAAGGCGGCGTCAGCCAGGAATGTTTGGCGTCAGGGAGTGCGGCGTCTGGGTGCGGCGTCGGCCAGGAATTGTCAGGGAGGAATGTGGCGTCAGGGAATGTGGCGTCAGAATGACCCAGGAATGCGGCGTCAGGGGTGAATGTGGCTGAGTCACAATGCGGCGTCAGCCGAAAATATTGCGCCAGAGAATGCGGCGACGGAACACGGTGTCAGCCGGGAATGCGGCGTCAGGTGCGAATGTGGCGTCAGAGAATGTGGCGTCAGAATGCGGCGTCAGCCGGGAATGCAGCGTCAGGGGAGAACGTGGCGTCAGGGAATGCGGCGTCACAGGTTTTTGGAACGCAGCGTCAGAGTGCGAACTCAGCGTCAGGTGGAAAAGCGCTGGCCCTTTTTCGGTCGCCCCGCCATTTGCCTTACGCGTGTTTGTTCATTGGATGGTGGTTATTTCTTCCTGTCTTTCTTGTTTCTGTTCATGTCTTGTTTTGGTCATTGGTTCATGCCCCGTGTGGGTTGTTTCTTGGTTGTTGGGTTCGTCTCTTCATTTGCTTGGTTGTTTATTTGGTAACTCCCTTGTTCGTGCCTGTTTACAGACCTTGCTCCCTTAGTTATTACACATTTTGCGGTTTTTTCTGGCCATCTGTTCTGCTTTGCTGGTTCATTCTGTCGTTTAATTCTTCATGTTGTGATTGTTTTTTGGGCATGTTGCCCGCTTATCATTTTGTTGTTTTTGTTCGTTTATCTTTGTGTGCCCTATATGCACTTTTGCTTGTTCTTGCCTTGTTTCATGCATATGTTCATTTGATTGTTTCTCGGTTCCTGCTGTTTGTTTCTTGGGTCATCTCTTGCTTCCTGCATTTGATCACACATTTTCGGAACTGTCGTCTTAATTGTTTTTATATTTACTTTCTTGTTTGCTTTTGTTTGTCTTTTCATTTCTTTGTTGTTTGTTTGGTCACTATTGGTCGTTTAGTTGCTATGTGTGTTGCGCTTCTCATTTACTGTTTTTTGTTTTTTGCGTTGATCTGCTCGTTGTTTTGTTCTGTTCAAGTTCCTTCTCGCTAGGTGTGGGCTCCGGATGTCACTCCGGGGCCTCCGGTCGCCGGCCTCGCCGGAGCTTTGGTTGGAGATGCGCACCACGCTCCTCCGAACCGCGCTGCTGCGCCACGAGATCGCCCACCTGGCAGCTAGGATACGGAAATGCAAGGAAGCGTGAAACGGGGCGGGAGAGATTGAGAGGAGACGTGGAAGAAGTGGCAGACATGAAAAGAACATAAAGGCAGACACGGAAAGACAAAGATACCAAAAGAGGGGAAAGGAAGAGGAAAAGACAATGAACATGTTTTCTTGAGACGCAGAGAATTGTTGGCCTTGATATCGAAACTGGGCTTCCTACTTGTCTAGGCGCAGAACATCCAGTCCTACGTGATGTTCGAGGTGTTGGACACTTCCTGGGCCAAGCTGCAAGTTGGTTGGCGGGCCTGCACTGACTTGGACCAGGTAAGAGCAGGGAGTATGCCGGAGCTTGCGCGTTACATTTCAAAAAAATCCGTGGGCTTTGTAAACTCAGAGGTTCTTTGAACCGCAGGTGATATTGCAGCACGAGCGTTATTTGGCGGGCCTCGAGGAGGGGGCCTTCTTGGCCCGAGGCAGCGAGGCGCAGCTCACCCGGCTAGGCTGAATCTCGGAAATTCGGAACGGGGTGAATCTTGGGTCGTCTCTGATGTCTTTCTCGGATTGAAGTCTCTAACTTGTGGGATGGAGTTATTGTGCAAGGCTGTCCTCTCTGGAGTCTCCAACTTGCTCAACCTGGCCTTGGAGTTCTGCGCTTTGCAAGAGCAGGAACGGGCAGACTAAGAAAGGGCGCAGGAAAGTCGAAGAAAGCTTCCTGAATTTCAGGGCCCTTGTTTGAGCCGCAGATTCTTCAGCGCAACATGCTGGTCTGGCGCTTCTCGCATGAAGCAATCGGGGATGTTCAGACCGAACCAGGAAGCTGCAGTGTCTAGCAATCTGTCATATGGGCTCATACATTGGCTGAAAGAGCGTTGCGGATTTATGTTTGTGTTTCAATTTCAACGTCTGTAGCAGGCACACTTCAGTGCGGTTTGCCACTTGTGCTTTTTGAGTGTAGAGCAATCGGAGAGCTTGTCTTGCTTCTGCCGAATGCATGCCGAGACTGTCAGACACGGGAATGCTTTCTTGCGAGCTTGCGCCCGTCCCGTTTCCTGGGGCCGAGCGACTATTTTATGTCATCGCCGTTTGGGACAGGCTGCCAAGCATGTAGACTTGGACTTTCGACTTGTAGCGCGCTTGAATGTTCCATCACTGTCCCACTTGCGCGGGCCGCGAACCGCATACTCAACCAGATTTGGTTGCGCGTCCACTTGCCGGCGGCGGTCCAGCAAACACGCATTAGTTTGGCAGAGACACAGAGGCTGTCGCATTCATGCGAATTGTAAAACATGTGGTGTTGCAACAGGTAGACGATCGGTAAAGGTTGTTAGCGGATAACTCCACCAAGCCTACCTGAATGGTGCATACCCTGCACGCAGCCAGTCTTGCAGAACAAGAAGCTGCCCGAGCTAGCTTGGCCGGCTTGCTGCATTTGCGCAAACACTGGACCAACCCAATGAAGCATATGTCCGGTTCGTTTCAAGTCGCTGCAAGAAAGGATGGCGCGTATAGCTGAGACAATGGGCATGCTCTGATTAAAAAAACATCATCAAAACATAGTGAAGGTTTGAAGATAGCCAGGGCCAGGCGTACAGGGGCATGAGCCATTCGCAGGCATGTGCTTCATCCTTCGAAGCAGCAGAAGCCATGATGGAGGTGGAGGCGGACGTGGCAGATCTGTTTCAGGCGTGTGACACCGTTAGTGCTTGTGATGCTTGAAGTAAGTGGAATGACAGACATATGGGCGGTTGATCAAAAGGTGCTTGCAAGAAGTCCCCACGGCGGGTTGTTTTGTGAGGTGTATCAAGGAAGCTGCCCCTGCTCCCGGCTTGTCATGACTGCACTTGGAGTTTGTCACACGCCAGCCCCTGAAAGTCTGAAAGCTCCAGAAAACAATACCCAACCTCTCAATTAGCTGATCAGGCTTAAAAATAGGCCTAAACGCTACCCCAAGCCTGAACCCCCAACCCACACCAAACCGTAAACCTAAACCCTGAGGCCGAAGCCGAAACCCTAAGCAAGCTTAACCTAGGGTGATTGCTGATAGTTTTTGGTTGGGGGTGCCAACACCAATCAAGGTTTGGTGTTCTGGATGATCCTGGCTCAACCAGAATGTGATCTGATGGTCTGATGTTGACACTGTGGTTGTGGAAGTTTCTCAGGAATGCAGAGTGTCAGCCGGTAGCGAGTATGAACTCTATGGTGGAAAAGGTTGCAAGCCGATTGCCAAAAGCCAACACCCTGCAGAACAGAGAACAAAACACACACAAGTTTCTGTTGACCTTTGGCGTCGAGTTGTATCTTCAAGGCCCTGCATGTTTTATGCGTGCCGTAGCCATTGATAAAAACAAGTCGATTTCGAACATATCAAGAAGCTCACCCTGTTTTGTGACACGGATATGTTGGATTGTCTGATATCTACATGGCTTGCGCAAACTGAGCGCGATGGCGCGCGAAAGTTGACATCTAATCATGTCAAATGAGTCTGCATCTGTTGTGACTTGCAGATGCGTTGGCTTGAAAAAGATACGGGCTAATGTGCCTTTGAACAAAACAAACTCTTGTAGAGATGGTGTCGTAACTGGAATAGTCTTATAGACGATGAGGCCAAAAGTCCGGATCTCGCGGGGGTGTCGATTGGTTGGTTATGTCGTTGTGCCATTGGTTGTTGCGAGTTGGAAAAGGATCCTTGCTCGAGGCAGCTGATCATACTTGTTCGTCTTTAGCGCCAGTGCTGCTGGTAGCCGTAGTTCTTGCTGTAATAAATATCCTTCATGCCATTCTTGCTGTAGTCCTTGCATCCACTGTAGTCGTAACCCCTGTTGTAGTCCTATTGCTTGCTGTAGGATTGCCATTCCTTCATTCGCTGGTTGTTGACTTTCTTGTTCCAACAAAGAGTATCATTGATTCTTGGCTCGGGCGCCCGTGCAAAGAGCACCATTGCTTCTTGGTCCTGGCGCCCGCGCGCAAAGCATCATTGGCTCTTGGCTCGGAATCCGAAAATGGGCGCCCTCCACAACACACACACACACACACGCACGCACGCACGCACGCACGCACGCACGCACCCACACACACACCCACACACCCACACACACACACACACACGCACGCACGCACGCACGCACGCACACACGCACAAACGCGCACGCAGAGACAAGCGCGCGCAAACACACACCCGCTTGCGCGACCGAAAGATTAGCAAGTTCGAAGTTCGAAGCTGGCACGGTGTACATTGGGTTGTTCAGGCCCAGCATCCTGAGTCAGGTCGCCACAAGAGCGCTGCGCCAAAGCGGGTGTTTGCGGAGCATCTTCTATCGCAAAGCGACGCATACACACAGACACTTCCCCCCAGCCAAGCCGGCGCTCCACCCGTGCAGTGCCAAAGGCTGCTTTTTGTAAGTTATTGTTTGCCAGACCTTGTTCTCGATGAAGCACAATGGTCACACATGACAGCCGGCCAAAAGATCTGTGCTAACCAAAGGAAGTTTAGAAGGAACTTCCGTGTTACGGCACTCTCTGAGACAAATGACAAGAGAAGGAACAAGCCCGCGAGAAAAAATGCGTGCGCGTGTGGTGGGAGAATAGAAATGTGCAACAAGCATGGCCCTGTGCGTGAATTGGCGTCTATCCAGTCAATTCACCGATGCAATCAGATAGTGAGGAGGGCTCATCCCTCTCTTCCCCATTCATCCCTCACTTCCCAATTTTTCATCAAGAAGATGGAGAATCAGAAGACTCGCAGAGGACAAGAGCGCGCAGACGCTGTCGCCCCATATGGGGTAAACAGCCAACGGCCAGCAACCAACAGCCGACAGCCAACAACCAACGGCCAACAACCAACGACCGCAAACCAACAACCAACCGCTGACAGCCAACAACCAGCAACCAACAACCAACAGACAACAATGAGCAACCAAAAACCAAAAACCAACAGCCAACAACACCCACCGTGATAGCAGGCTCCCACTGGCCCTGGATCTGCTTTTCAACAAGAATTCGTTGTAGAAGTAAGCTTATGGAACAGCGTTGTACTGAGTACGAGCTCTATGGTAGAAAAAGGGTCCTTGAGCCATTATGTATACGTGTAAAACTGATTGCCTAAAGGCCAATGGTCTGCAAAACACAGAGCAGGGGCCACCGCCGCTGACTCTTTAGGTTGGAAGGGTTTCGGGTTTCTGCTTAAGTTCGGGTCTTCGGGCTTCGATTCGAGACAGGGCTCATTTTTCCGCAAGGGCATGGGGCGCGGGCAATCGTAGGGCGCTGAGTGAAGAACTTATGTGTTCGGTGACTACTGGCTTAAGTTTTAAGCCCCTCCACGGCGATCAAGTTCGCGGCAAAAATCGCGAAAGTTCCCAATGGGTTCTTTGAAGCTGCTTGCGCACTTAAATATTGCAGCCCCCCGTTTTTACTTGCATTCTAGATTCCCTGCCTGTGTTGGGAACGGCGCAAACCCAAACATTGGCTGGGCAATTTGGGAGTAAGTTTCGCGAAAGATCCGCGAAAGCCCACACCCCAGCAAGCGCACGCGGCAAGGGCGAATGATGGTGACTTCTTTCATCTAATGCGCTGCAGGCTTCCACAGCGCACACTGCGAGCAAAAAGGCGTGGCAATGGCGCCAACGCTTCGCAAAATAATGTTTGTTTCGCGAAGATGGAGTTTTCCCAAATGCATGTTACAATCGACAAGCTCGGTCGAACTCCATTGCTTCTTCTAGCCCGTCGCACGTGGCGTGGCGGGGGCAAGGGCTTGACGCCGCGCTGCAAGCGCTTGCAGGCCGCAAGCGGCGCAATTGTCAATGAGCGTAATGTAGCCACTGACCGCACGCGCACAAAAACTTCGTGGACAACCTCGCAACGGCGGACAAGCAGGGCGTGTTCTCCAGTCAAGCCAATCGCTCGGCTAGCCCTTGGCCAGCGGAGCAATGCGAGCAAGTGGCCGGCAAGTGGGTGGCGCCAGCTGGGCGATTTGGGGCTCAGCAAGCCAACGGAGCCAGCGGACTTGCTGGCGCAGAGCGCCAGCGAAGCCAGGAGTGAGCTGGCTGACTGAGTTAGCCAGTTGCGTGCCAAACCCAACCACGCCACAGCGCAGCTGAGCAAAGCAAGTCACTGGCAGCAGAGCCTGTCTGGACAGCAGCAGGCTAGTCGTTGAGCCAGAGAGGGCAGGTGAGGGAGCCAGCTCAGCCACCAGGAGCTTGTGTAGCTGACCCCAAATTCCGCGCCAGGAACAAGGGGGTGGGAACTGGATGTGGGATTTATTCTGCTTGTTTTGGCCCGTTTGCGTTGCATGTATACATGAACAGTGAATACACACGTCACACGTGCACGATCGTGCACGTTTATTCGCCTTTCGTCGATCAGTTCGCAAGGCTGCGCGGAGCCGGCCCTTCGCGCGGTCCCTCGCGGAGTGCCGGGGGCAGCTAGATACTTTAGCCACAGCTTTCGTCCAGAAGCTCCAGGCTCTTCTGCGCGCGTTGGAGGAGGGTGGGAGCTTGAAGTTGTTGGAGAGCGCAGGGCTCATGGCAGAATATTTATATTAGGCATAGAAAGTTGATTTGCCATTCCTATTTCCCTTTAATATCAGATAACAGATTAATAGGTGAATGATAATAAACTAATGAATGGAGGAAGTCCTGTCCAGATGCTGTTAGTCCTTCCTTGACGGGCATTTTATCTCTTCATATCCTTCATTCCAAGAACACAGATTATAAAGTGTGATTAGCCATGGTTCATATCATCATCAGGGACGTCGCGGTAGTGACCGACCTGTGGTGTTTTGGCTCAAGTTTTGGATCCGGCGCGCCTCGGATGAGACCGCCTTCGTGACGGAGGAGAAAGAGACTTCGGCCCGGGGTAGGTTGGTGGGGATCGCCCGTGCGGTTCATCGTCGACTAAGGTTGCGGGTATCCTTTTCTATTTTGGTTTGTTTCCCTTTGGTTGTTGTTCTCTGGTGTGTGGGAAACCCTGATCTTTGGGACCGGGGATTGGTTTGCTTTTGGGGAACCTTTCTTTTGTGGCTTGTTTACCCCAACTTACCCATTGCCTGGGCACAGGCTCGTGCCCGAATCACAGGTTATCAGCCGTAGGACTTTCCTACGCGCTTGAGACCATCAACTACAAGTTCAATGACGTCGACCCCACGATCTCGAAGGAGCGTCGTGGATGAGGAGGCCATCCTAGGTGGCCTCCGCTCAGGTGAGGACCTACCGGACTTCGACTACGAGGATTTCGAAGCAGGTTCGACAGGTCAGCCCGGTAGGGACACACCCAGAAGCCGTGGCAGGTACACCGATGATGGAGACGATCGCATTTTCCGTCAGGCCACTGATGATGAGCAAGCCCAAAGAGCTCGCCCCGATAGGAGCGGCTCTGAATCAGGTCTCAGGCACGGACAGTTCGACTTCATCAGCATGGCGATGAACATGGCCCGCCCCCATTCGGACGACCCGGAGGCCACGCCGTTCTCCTGAGGGATAAGCGCTCCGTCTCCCAGGTCGCCGAGAAGACAGTTGCCTGCTGGGCCTGCTGATCGGGCCTGCTGACGAAGACTGGGAAGTGTCAGTATGGTCAGGAATGCAAGTTTGAGCATGACAAGAGCCCAAGGAACCCTGCTGCGCCCTCTACTCCGAGGACTGGCGATAGGCCCGTTAGGGACAAGCCTATATACTTCGGATACTGCTACGACTGGATGTATGGCAAGTGCACAGCTCAGCAGTGCAAGTACCTGCATCAGAAGCCACCTCCGGGTACGAAGCCTATCACGCCTGGTCCTGCTGTTGAGGATGAAGAGGGGGATACCCCTAGGTCACCTACGCCCAGTCCTCCCGATAGGGAGGCAAGGCGTCTCGACAGCCCCGCTCAAGGATTGACGGATCTTTAGATAGGGCCGTAACCCTGAGGCCAACCGTGTTGTTGTGGCGTGTCCAGTTATGTGGGCTGTTGCCCCAGCCACCGGTGGGTCTGCACCGGGTTGTCTCCCTCCTTGCGTTAGCAGTTGGGAGAAAAGCGCGACGCATTATTCTTCTCAGGTACTACTGGTGGAGGTCCAAAACGGGACCAAGTCATCTGGAGAAGGACTGTTGACGCGAACGGGACCGTGATCGAGGATATCGGGGTGAACTCCGGTCGCAGAGCGGCCTTGTTGAGGAGGCTCCCAAGACGAACTGATACCAAGACGACCTTTTGGTACTGCGATGATGTGGAAGTTGTGCTGTCCTGGAGGAGCAAGTACTTTCAGCAAGGTCCTGATAGGGAACCTCTGAGGGTCAAGATCCCTGATCTCCCTGATGTGTTTGTTGTTTCAATTGAAAATGACAATACGGGCAGGGTCGTGAATCGCTGCAGAGAGGCTGGATACAGCCATCCCAGTGCGATCAAATTCCCATCTCGCAAGAAAATTGCTAGGGAGGTTCAAAGTGCTCTGATAAGAGCAGCGGCTGTTCATGCCCAAGTGCTCTTAGACAATGATGAGGACATCGACACCAACCCTGGCGGGGACATCGCGTTGTTCGAAAACCGAAGTACACTCAAAAGGTTGCTGCACCTGTTGGATACAGCGGGGTGAGATGGCTGGTAGATACTGGTTGTCCCATGGATCTGGTCGGTCTTGGTGATCTGAAAGGACCCGATAGGGGCCTGATCGCCAAAGGCGGGCACACTCACGCGCTGCACACTGCTAACGGGGCGACTCGCACCGCTGGTCGTGTTGATGCTGACGTCGGCAACCTGGACGAGGTGATTGAGGCACACGTCCTTGTGTCCACTCCATCCACCATTTCCGTTGGAAAGCGCTGTATGGACATGGGGCACTCGTTTGTATGGACTGCAGGTTGCAAGCCTACTCTCATGTGTCCTTCGGGTCGCACGGTGACATTGGATGTCATCAATAACGTGCCATATCTTCCTCATGGTGACACTCAGTTCGTCTCTCCCACTCTTGATGATGCTGAACCACTTCCTGCTATGCCTGCCCCTGGCGCGGCATATCAAGGGCATGAAGCCAGCGAGGTTCCGCCGTGCAAATCTGCACCAACGGTCAAGAGTGAATTAGGGGACACCTGGCGTACGGAGCGCTCAGGTCATGTTGTGAAGGAGCGCCGGATTCCGCGCAGGGCGAAGTTCGTGCCGACTGGTGATGATTGTCCCGTTAGGATCGATCAACTGGACAACTACAGGAAAACGATCGTTCACCGAAATGGGGTTACTCATGAGGTGTTGGTTGATGGTCTGTGGGAGTTGTCCGAAAGAGATCAGCATGCGATAGCATCTGATGTCCTTTGGACGGGTGAGACATGGTTCCAGGTCAAATGCGAGACCGTTGCTCTTCCCGGAGAGGCCGAGCAGGGGGGTGAGGGCGATAGCCGTTCACTTCCGGTCCCTGGCCCGGGGGAGGGAGACGATGGCGACATTGTTGAGATAAACTTTCTCTCCGGGCTACGCGCAGAAGCCGAGTGGCGTGCAGATGCTAAGACGCTCCGCCATATGCTCACGCATCTCCCGAAGAACCCCTATTGTTCACACTGTCAGCAAGCAAAAATGGAGAATGTCAAGCTTCGCCGCAAAGGTGGTGCTGCTGCGCATGACGTGGTAAGCTTCGGGGATCTAACCACAGCTGACACAATGGTGTTGAGAGGACTGAAGGATCGAGGCTTTCATGGCGAAGCAGACGCGATAGTGTTCTACGACCTCGCTACTGACTACCTCAAAGTCCTTCCTGTGCAATCCAGATCCCGTCGCAATACACTGAAGGCGTTTCGCAGGTTTGCAGGGGGGCAAACTCTGAAGTTAGTGTACAGCGACCAGGCCCCAGAGCTGAAGAATGCTGTCACCACGCTAGGCGCCTTGCACCGGCTTTCTACGCCGGGCATGCCCAAGACAAACGGCCTGATCGAGAATAAGGTCAAGCTTGTTCTCCATGGGGCACGCGTGCTCCTGCGTCAAGCTGGATTTGAACCTCGATGGTGGCCATTTGCCGTTAGGCATTTCTCTATGGCAAGAAATATTGAGAACCAAGGCGACGGATCACCTTGGATGCGACGCCACGGTGACGGGAACTTCAGCGGAGTCATTCTGCCGTTTGGTTGTCTGGTCGACTTCTACCCCATTGCTCCTAAAATTCGCAGGGATAGAAAGGGGGGGGTTCAAAACGCCCAAAACGACTTCAGACACGCTGGAAAGATTGACTCAGAGGACGTTGATGAAGGAGGAGACCACTGGATCGCAAATGAAGACGAGAAGGTTCTCACTCGCGTCCACGTTGAAGCGCGAACCGAGCTGTTTATCCCGATAGGGGCAAACGTTCCAGTCAAGATTAAAGACCTTGGCAGGAGGCGAATCAGGCCGAAAACGACCGTGGAGGTAACCACGAGTGGACTGGAGAAACTCATTTCGACTGTGACTTTGGTCAGATCGATGAGGATGAAGCCGAGATCTATGAGAACGAGGGGTACGAACCCGAGTGCAATGACGAACCGGACTTTGTCCCCACTGATGAGGTAGAGGTTGAAGAGACGAGTGTCACTACTGCCCTGCCCGCCGAGAAGAAAGAGCGGGACTTCATCAGAATCGAGGAAGATCCAAAGTTCGCTCCATCATCCAAGCCAGGCCTTTTTCTCGGCTACCGGTTAGAACCTGGGGGGCTATGGAAGGGCGACTATGTTGTCGCTGACCTTGAGCACATCCAAAGAGGCCTCAGGAAACCGAGTATACACCAGGTCAAGCGTATCTGGAAGAACCCTGAGGAGCCCTACGTGTTCCCGATGTTGGCATCCTATAATACTAGGACTCGGACCATCCGGGAGGCGTTAGCTGACCGAAGGGCCGACCTTAAGCCGAGTAAGAAGATCAGGGATGAATTCGACTTTGATGAAGGTCGATTTGATGATCCTGATGATGATGACGATGACCAACAGGACGAGGGGGGCGGTAGCTCTTCCAAGTCTGATGGGGCCATTCAGAGCAAGGCTGTCCAAGGAGGTGGTGACGCATGCGTCTCAGATTACTGGGAGCGGCGCAACGAGGACAGCGCCTGGTATCGCATCCACGTCGAGGTGCGGAAGAAATTCTTCGGGACGACAAACGAGGACCTTCCTCCAGGTGGTCCTTCGCATGAGGAGCTTGACGTTAGGGTCACGCACATGCGGGGGCTTGATGCCGTTGGAAATTGGGTAAGAGATGATCGTCATCACGATGCTCCTAACCATCGGCATTTCACGCGTGGATTTTGGACTGGTGTGACCATCCTTTTTGATAAGGGATGCGCTCCCCACGGTATAGTTCAAGCCAAAGGAAGAAGGAGCCAAACCTGATAAGCTGCACGGAGACAGGATCGACTATGGCCAATCCGCCGATAGGCGTGAGCGGCCATACGCAGGCGCCGGAAAGCCCAACTCAATTGATGCGGATAGTTGGAGACAGATGTCTACCCGGTCACGGGAGATATATGTTCAAACCGAACGGGAGTTATCCCTAAGGGAAGAAC